TCTCTCTCTCTCTCTCTCTCTCTCTCCCCTTACTTAATTCTATCTGGCATTTTTGGCTGTTTTGAGTTATCAAGACCATGAGGTCAGAAACCAAAAATAAATGTTCTATCTGCTCTATCAAAATCGTAAGATTAGTCGAAGTCGTTACCGACAAATTCAAAGAATTGCTTTCACAAAAGCTTGACCTGCTGAGAAACCCCACATTTTTAAAGTCAAATTTCTCCAAACTAGGTACAGAGCAGATAGAATTTTGTACTTCTAAGAGAGCAACATGTTGGTCGAGCTGAGAGCTAACTAGTGCTACCTCCAAGATCCGGCTTAGGGGAGTTTTTGCTCCATTAACTGTCAGCCTGTTAAACTTTGGGCCAAACTTTGAGGTTTTTGCCCGTACAATTTCAGTTTCGGTTTGCACTAACTTCCTGTTTTGGCGACTAGAATTTAGGGTTTTCAGGGCGATTTAGTGACTAACATCAAAACCGGAAAATATGATAAGTTGGTACAATAATATTATACATGTAGTCCATAACTCCCGGTATGGCGGGGGGCAGCTATCCTTTTGGTCCTGTTTCTACTATCTGCTGTCAACTTGTGTTCCTGCCCACGAGAGCTGACACCAAATTTAGCAACCAGAGCTGAGAAAAACACAGCTTACCTTTCAAGAGAATCACGCTCCCCGTGTGTGCACTGGTTATGTCCATGGATGCTCAATGCCTAGAGCGATCATGTAAACAAGCTTGACTCGGAGATGTTGAGGTTTAACGGAGAGGGAGCGACGACCTGCATATGTCTAAAGAGCCTTGGGTGAACCATGGTTACATAATTGGTCACTTCGGAGACGGACGTTAAATCGGAGGTCCTACCATAGGTCGCTTGGAAGACAGACGTTTAGGGCACAGAAAACCTGAGTTTGATTCTCGAGTGGAGATAGCTTTTCAGGAGTATCTCGGCAGGTCTTTCTGATGGGACGTATCCCTCTCAGCCCGGATTGGCTCCGACAGACAGGGACGTAGCCCGCCTCCCAAATGATCCAAGTAGTGCCAATAGGGCAGTAAAAACACCTACACTTGAAAAGTAGACCGACATGTCAGTCACATTCTAAGACGAGTTTTGTCCTTAAATTGTAATGTAAAACATCCTAGACTTCCTTCTTCGTTTTTTTCAGCAACAATGACAAGGAAGCTGTTTAACTCATTCACCGTTCCCAGGTTTTTCAGAATCAGAAATGCCATGCTGTGGGTTGGGCGCCCGTCCCAACACTGTACACTAGTTACCCTTTACACCCACAGTTGTTGTTTTTTATCCGATACTTTAAGGCCTTCAGACCACCCAAGCAAGACCTGCCAGGTAGACTAGAGCGTGTAAATGAGAAGAGAGGCCCCTCAAAAACCTCACGGACGCCCGTTGACCTGGATGACGTCGTCCGGCTGAAATCTGGCGTCGACAGATTATCTTACCCGCGCGCCTAATGGGGATATGCGTGCGCGCCCGGCACGCGTCCCTTTTGGAGATTTTTTTTCCTCCAGATTTTGGTTTAGATACAGGGCATTGGTAAAAGCCCAGAAACATGTATTAGCATAATTTATGTAATCAGTGCATAAAATTAGTCTGATTCACGAGGAGTTTGAAGTTGAATTATGAAGTTAATTTTTATTTCAATAATACACTCTTTTCCAAGACACAAAACATTGTATTGTACTCGCCTGCGTCACAGCTTTAAATCAAGCCGGACTTGTATTTCTTGTTAAAACCTGGCGAACTGGTGTGTGTGTGTGAGTATGTGTATGTGTGTGTGTTTGTGTGTGTGTGTGTGTGTGTGTGTGTGTGTGTGTGTGTGTGTGTGTGTAGACGCAAAGGTGAGTAAGAAGAAGACAAAAAACAGACAAGAGGAGGAGAAGAAGGAGCAGGGGGAGCAGGAGTACTAGGAGGAGGACGTTGATCAGAATGAGGAGGACGTGGATCAGAATGAGGAGGACGTGGATCAGAATGAGGAGGACGTGGATCAGAATGAGGAGGACGTGGATCAGAAT